AAGGGCCCTGCGGTCTGGGATTTAGTGGTAGGAGAGCAGAAAGGACAACCGGAGCTGGGCCGTCTGAGGGTTTAGGGCAGGGGTGGGCAAACTTTTTGACTCAAGGGCCACAATGGGTTCTTAAACTGGACCGGAGGGCCGGAACAAAAGCATGGATGGAGTGTTTGTGTGAACTAATATAAATTCAAAGTAAACATCATTACATAAAAGGGTACGGTCTTTTTTTTTTTTTTTAGTTTTATTCATTTCAAACGGGCTGGATCCGGCCCGCGGGCCGTAGTTTGCCCACGGCTGGTCTAGGGTCTCGGCCCACGTTCCTTAGCTTCGTGGGTCTTTTCGCTGCTGTTCCTAGTACCCTGTCTCCTACTTTGCACTCGCTCTCCACCCGCAGCCTTGTCCTGAGCTGCTCGTGAGTTCCAGGCCCGTGTCCATCTGCAGGAGCATTAGCATCTGGGGGAGTCTAGAGAGAGGCCGGAAAGCCTGCACGTGTCAGCAGCTTGTCATGACCACTCTGTGTGTCTGTTCTTCCTTCCTCCTGGGTCTTAGCATCCACTCAAACACATTCAGTACCAACAACACGCAGCCTGCTGTGTGGTATACACGCTGAACCGGCCAGGGATCCTGACCTCGAAGAGTTTAGAGTTCAGTAAAGAAAACAAAGCAGATACACAGATAACATTGGTCCAGAGGAGAAGTGACACAAGAAATTTGTGTGGGTGCCAAGCTGTGTTGGGGATCCCTGCAACATGTGTGTACACATGTGTGTGAGTTGGTGTAGGTCTGCTCCCCATCTGAGCTGGGGCTGGGGCTTGCTCCTGAGGCAGAATGCTGGGGTGTTGTGACAGGCTACGTTGACAGGCAGTTAATAAATGTGCTAGATATGCTTGCACCGTATGTTCCGGTCACGATTCTGTTTTCAAAGCTAAAGGGTATGAAAGTGTCTGCTTTGTTTATAGCCATTTGAGTAAAAACATTTTTGCTTTTTGCCTATTACATTTTAACTAATTTTACATAATGCATTCCACAGCTAAGGCTTAGTTAGCAAATATAATCCCAAGTTTATTGTCAAATTAAGGAAAGCTGACTTAAATAATTAACTTTTGGCTAGATATTTAAACCTTTTTCTTTTTTTCACCTTCTTTTCTGGGGACAGGGATAGACATGGGGGTAAGAAAACAGAAATGTCTTGTATATAATATATAAATTTCTGTTTCTATTCTTTACTACTGATTTTACTACTAGGGGCCCAGTGCATGAATTTGTGCACCTTGAAAGGAACTGTGGGCCAAGAGGCTGCGGTAGGCACAGGGGCGGGTCTTGGCCCATCCTCCCTGCCCCCTCCTGTCCTCTCCCCCTGCGGCCCTTGGTTCCCTGTCTGTCAGCAGCCCTGCTCCCGCTGCTGCTCACACGTGCTGACAGCGCTGGGTCTGCTCGCACCTGCTGACGGCGCAGAGCAATTGGGGCTGGCCCAGTAGCGGGTGCAAGCAGCGGCTACTGCCCTGATCAACCCTCAGGAGCAGGGGGAGGTAGAGAAGCCCTCAGGGGTGATCAGGGCCTGCAGCGCCGCTTGCACCAGCTGATGGTGCCAAGTGATCGGGACCAGCACCAGGCACCGGCAGTGGGTGCAAGCAGGGCCAGTGCCAGCAGCAGGTGCAAGCACCTGGCGGAACTGTGGCACGCAGGAGCAAAGAATTTTCAGTAACCACCAGAGACTCACCCCAATGACAGTGACCAGTGCCCTGCCTTGGTCTGGCGCCCCCGCTCCCCCCACCCCGCCGCAGCCAACACCCGCCATGTTCTGCACACACTGCCTGATGGTCAGCGCACGTCATAGTGATTGGCTGTTTGTTCCAATTGTTCCACCGTTCGGTCTATTTGCATGTTAGCCTTTTATTATATAGGACTAGTGGCCCGGTGCATGAAATTTGTGCACATTAAAAGGGAATTAATTAGAGGAAATATTTTAATATTGCTATTTGCCCTTTCTCTATAATAGGTGTCAGAGATGAAAGAATATTAGTAAAATGTATATGAAAAACTTCCTCCAGGCATAGTCTGGGGCGCACTGCAGGACCCAGAGTCAAGTCCCTGCCCACCTGCACATGCCTTGAAATCGCACGAGACCCAGACCCGGCCGGCCCCACCCCCGTCAAGCCCCGCAGGGTGGGAGGCACAGCCTCAGGTCCCCTGGTCCTGGCGCCAGGGTGGGGGGCGTGGCCTCAGGTTCCCCAGCCCAGCCTCAGGTCCCCTGGCTCTGGTGCCGGGACGGGGGATGCGGCCTCAGTTCCCCTGGCCCCGGCGCGAGGGCGCGAGGGCCATTTACATATTAGCTCTTTATTATATAGGATTGCCCTTTACATATCTGAAGATTGTGGTGAAAGAACATAAAAATGCATTAACTTGGCTTCCTCGTAAAATGATTGCTCCATATAAAAATTTAATATATTTATACCATAATTAAAAATGTAGTAATTGAACTAATTTCAAAAGTGTAATATGTTGATGCAAATGAAGCTGCACATTAACTGAATTTTAAGGAACAGATACTTGCTTAGCTTTTACCGTTTTACAAGAAATTGGCCAAACTTTGAGACCATAAGAAATTGACACTATATATCAAAGCAAGCAAACTTATGCCCCAAATTCCTCCAGGTGTACCAGCCTCTCTGCATCAAGGAGACAAACACCCTCATTTTTAGAAAGGAAACGGAGGGGAAAAGCTTCTCTCTGCAAATGCAATGACTTCAGTTTTTGCCCCCAGGAATTTCTTTTGGAAATATAAACTTCATTCAACTGTATTCATAAATCAAATGGGTCTCCTCTTTCCCACTGGAATAATTTTGAGTGTGCTATTCATTTAAATGCAGGCTACAGTTAAGTGAGGGCAAGGTGAGATTAAGACAGGATGTAATCAGTGGATGAGTAGATAAGAGCTGTGATACATTTACACAATAAAAATCCTACCCTTTGTCACAGCATGGATGGACCTGGAGATTATTATGCTAAGGGAAATAAGCCAGTCAGAGAAAGGCAAATACCATGTGATCTCACTAATATGTGGCATTTGGTGAACAAAATAAACCGACAAACAATATAGAACCATAGGCATGGATACATGAAACAGACTGACGGATGTCAGAGGGCAGGGAGGTGAGGGACACTGGATAAAGGAATGTGAGGTAGGATTCACTAAAAAACATATATGCATAGTCTATGGACACACACAATAATGGGAGGACTAAGAGCGGGGCTGGGTGGAGGTGGGCAAAGAGGAGGAAAATGCAGGACATCTGCAATAGTGTCAACAATAAAAAATTTAAATAAATAAATAAAAAAGAATGTATTGGTTTTAAAAATACCTGGGCAATTCCCCAAACAATGATTTAATACTAACAACATAAATACTTTTAAAAAGTAAGTGTAGTCCAAGTGCAGTTAAGAGTCAAGGTTAGGTGCACCAAAGCACTCACACAGGACCCTTCCTCTCAGCAGCTGTGTGGTCTGGTTTAGAGGGCTAGACGCCAGACCCTACTCTCAAGCATTCGGATTTCCTTATTACTCCCTTCCCGAGCTCTGAGCATTAGACGGAGTGTCACTTTCTGGGCATCTCCGTAGCCACCGTTCTTTTTCTAGGTTTTGCCCGTCAGGTGAGGATGAAGTCCGACTCTAAAGCTCAGGAAAAAGACCTCCTAAGGAAGTCATGTTCACTGTCTGGCTCCCCCACTGGTCAGAGCCTCGCAGCAGCCAATCCCTACCTGCCCCAACTTGAAGGATCCCATTAAAGCCTTGACATCTTTGGGGAAGGCCCAGGGCTTCTCCTTTGTGGAGAGGATGGAAAGAGAAACGTACATTTGATTGACTGTCCCCTCAGCTCTGACAACTCATGGGCCTCATCATCCCACCTTCCACAATAGCTTGTTTTCCCCGGACACGTTGCCGTAATGCACTCACAACTCTCCTAAATCCCAAGGTGCTAGTGGGCAAGTCAAATATTCCTGCACCCGAGGACTGGGTGACAGTCCATCACTGTGGTCACTTTCTTTCACCACCTTCTCCTTGAAGGGAACCTGCAACCTGACCCCTCCCTTTCCTCACTACCCTTTTAGAACCCCAAATGGCATCCAGTCACTGCTCCCCCAGAAATGTGATCCCAAAGGACTGGAAATGCAGACTTCCAGGATTTTAAGTTAAAAGGGCATCCTGTCCAACCTCCATTCAAATGGGGCAGGAAATATTAGTGAATCCCAAACAAAAGCACTTCAGTGCCATCAGGAGGCTGGCCTATCCCACAAGAGACATCTTAACCCCCTGCCCCTCCACTGCTACATGTCTCACAAGAAAAACGTAAGTGAACAAAGAGGACCAGACTTTATCCAATATAAATTTGTTTTTATTGAAGCAGCAGTCACATGACTTTATATCTAGCCTTTAGATTAGGCCTGACAGTGAGCCAGCCCTAAAAAGAAAAAAAAGTTTCTTTTTGCACTAAGAGACATTACATGTTTACATACATCATCCAATATTGGAAATGATAGACTCAAACACAACATGTGTTGGTTACCAGGGAGGTACAGCCCCACTGTTTGTGTTCATTTATTTTACAGATACTCCCAAAGACCATTACTAAAGGGATGGAACTTAAAAAAAAAAATACAGCTACACCAAACCATGAACACAGTAACAGAAGACAGCAGCTTATTCATGTTTTAAAAATTTGTCCCTTTCAGGGATGTTTTCTTTCTTCTCAATGCCGTGTCTGCAAAGCTTCCTCTGCATCAAATCCAAAGGTTTCCAAGACGGAAGCTGCACCTCTCGGCTACACAATGGAATAAGATCATTTGAAAGAACGAGAACTAATGTTCGTATCTTGATTTTTATAACAAAGATCTGTGTTTCTCTACTTGGAGGAAAAGAGGTGGTGATGTGTCTACATATTGCAGTGGCAAAACAGGCCGGGTGAAGAGGGCTGGGTAGTGAAATAAAGACCACACACTTGTGAATTTTAATTTCATTTCCAGGCTACCTACTTTTTATTTAATGCAAATTACAGTACCAGTTAACTATTTCCAAACCAAGTCACATAGAACGAAATGTATTTACAAGGGAATGGGGAAAGGGGAAAAAAAAAACATTAAGCATACTTTTCACAAAAAAGTTTATATTTAAAATGAAAAAAAAATCAGTCACAGAGGCATTCAAGTAGTAATGTTATACAGATTTTGCTTTTCCTTTATATCAAGACAGATTTGCACAAGTGTTTGCAATAGTTTGTATACAACCCACAGTCCTTTATATATATATATATATGTATATAATAAATTTTGTTTTTTAGGTTTGTTTTTAAGATGGAAGTGGTCACGCTAATTGGTATGTGTACAGGCCCAAGTGATCCATCGGCAACACATTTATAAATGCAATTTTACAGGCAAGCACATTTCATACATCTATCTGAATCTGCCTGTAGCAGATATAGTATGAAAAAAAAAAACTTAAAAATTAACACAAGGAAGTCTACTTTGTCAAGCTAACCCCTTATGTACTGGTTGTCATTTTGCTTTTATTGCAGAGGTGCAAAACGGAGCAACAAACTTGAATAAAACATCATAACCCTTATGAAAATAATCCAAACCTCAGGGATTACTTTCGAAGCCTCTCAAACGTAGACCTTAGTCTGGGACTCTACTCTGCTTCTAGTTGTCTCTCTTATCTTCGGTGGCTCAGGTTTCTATCAGCAAAGTCAGATTTTATTGTAAAGCATGCTTAGTTTATTTTTCTATAGACGGGACAAGTGTTTGGCTCTGTGATTAGATGATCACTAAGAACAACAACAGGAATCAGTTACAATTTTTGTTTAAAAGAAAAGAAAAAACCCCAAACTCCTGGGGATCTGGCATTGGCCAAACTTCCTTTGGAAGATTCCAAAGTTAAATCCCTTAAAAAGGAAAGGGAAAAAGAAATAAAATGCCAGTGTCTTTATATCCACAGGGATAGAGAATACAATAGTCCTCTCAGAAACCTTTGCATTGGTGCAGACCAGATGACTGGTTAGGCAGCTTTGTTAAAACACACACCAAAAATATGTATCTAAAAAATTAAGAGGACTTTTAAAAATGACAACATGTCACTGGAAAGAAGGTGCAGTCCTCTGCCTTGCTGGAATGAACACATGATGTTTCAAAAATAGGAACCTTTGGTTTGGTAAAGTTTGTTTTTTTCTTCTATTCAAGACATCTCATATGGAGTACTTGGAGGCAAAACAAGTAATTTTGATTTTTTTCTTTCAAAAAAGGCCTTCATGATGGGCACACAGTAAGAATTCAAATGATTTTTTCAAAAAGAAATTAAAATGAGATTTTGCTGAAAGGGGTGGAGGTGGCGGGAGGACAGACAGGCGGAGTCCCCTTATTAAGCCACAGTCCTCGCGCACACTCCGGCATTACTGCCTGCAATCTTACCATGGCATTTCAGACCACTGATTAGCAAAACCTGATGCTATGATGGAACTGATTTACAAAAACCAGTTCTCCCCTCTCATTTGTGAGGGAAGGAAATGAGGAGAGTGAGCATGGAATCTGCTGATTGTAAGACCCATGGTTAGGGTTTGGGGAAGAGACGAGCAAAATCTAATTGATACCCTCCAGCTCTAGGGCTCCCTGGCACTACGCTGAGTCCCTGGATGGCCTAAGGATGAAATGAAACCGGTCACTGCTACTGAGGAAGACATATGTTCAGAACCAAAACAGAGGCAGGGCTTACATGACAGATTATAAACATGGTTTCCTCTTTCCACTCCTGAGCGTGGTATCACTGAAATTCACCGCGAAGGGGCACAGACACTGTGTTATGAGTGAGCTATTATTTCATAGGAAAAAAAGGGTGGGGACAGGGAGACATGGATATAGAGAGAAACCAATTAAAATTTAAAAAATGAAAAACAACAAATAAACACATGGAAGCGAAGGCACTCCAAACTATATAGATACACTATACATTGCTAGAGTTATTGTTACAATAATACAGGCCGGTACCTACTGTACAGAGTTAAAACTATATGGCTTTAAAAAGCTCGTCTACATTTTGTCTGATTATTAAACAGAATCACTGCCCTGAACAGTAACTTTTTGCTCATTAATAACAGTTCCTGGGTCCACATATTTACATACAAAACAATAAAACTTAAATTTAAAAACATTGAAAGAAAATATAATGTACAAGCTTGAATTTGGTGAGGAGCTTTTATTATTATTATTATTTTATTATTTACAAAAAGATACGCAGAGACCTGGATCTCACTTGTATAAAAGAGCTCTGTGATCCTGCCATGATCCTTGAGAAAGAAAAAAAATCACGCACCTCAGCCCTCAGACACGCACACACAACACGAGAGGAAAGCATCAGACTCTTCTCTTTTCTCACCCCATTTATCGGGGGGAAGGTATTTTGTAAAATAAGCACAGGTTTCTATGGACTCTGGCAGATATACCAAATCCAGAGTAGTGTCTGTCCAGATGTTTGTCCGGGCAGTGGTCTGAAAGCAGGTCCATTTCTGTCACAGACCTGCTGTTCAGCCTCTAATCTTTTCTGAAAATGGCCTATCAAAGCCGTTCCTTTAGTATCATGTTGCCAAATACTTTCACTCAGACGTCCTTCCAATCTTAATCAGCTCTTAGAGGCTCATTATGAAAAGTAAAATTCAATACGTTTGATTTGGTTTGACCGAGGATGTTTCCTTCCTCATGAACTCTGATACAACCAGAGGTTTGAGAAACCCCTTCTGCGGCCTAAGAGCACAGCTAAACAGTGAGTGAAGACGACGATGGCTCACAGCTGCCTTTCTGGCACTGGTTCACTTCAGCAGGCAGTCGACTCTCCGGGAGTCACACACACTTGGGTAAGTAGTACAGGCTCTGGGGACCAGCATGAGGGCTGTCAAGAGACTCTATTTCCAAATCGCCTGGAGGGCGAGACCCCTAACATGACCTAAGGTGGCAATGAGAAGGGGAAGGTAGGTTACACACAACCTAGGGCCCAGCTCTGCAGCCCTAGCTCTCAGTGAACCGTAGAAGGCATGTGGGGAAGGAGCAGGTACGGGGAAAGGCGGCCATCACTCAAGTAATCTTCACATGTAAAGTACAACTGGTTGTGCCTTAAAGATTCATAGGTCAAGTAATGGCCCATAAGCACCAAGGTGACTAAGGTTCGTTTTAGAGTATGTAAGGCCCACATAGATGTCAACCTTAAACATGTAAAACAAACGCTGTGTAAAAATCTATTTCCTCACTGCAAACATAATCCTTCAATCCTCCTTGCTTTCCAAGGAATATTGCTTTTTCTTCAAAAACAGAGACTGGTTCTTACACCATCCACTGATACAGAAAAGAAAACAAACAAAACTCTTAACTGGGTATAGGGAAATCATTCTTCTTCTCACTCTTCAAGCAGTCAATTTTGATACTGTGGACAAAATGAAAACAAAAACAAGAGGCAGTACTGAATCTATTATACATAACACATATACACACATTTATATGATCCACTTTCCTATAACGTCAGCAGGTACTAGTGACTGTTTATATCATTTGGATGCGTAGTTTTTAATATTCCTATCATCTAGAATCATAATGGCCTGACACATGCATCAATAAATAAAATTTAAAAAGCATGAGGTTAAAAAAAGCTGAAATTAAATACAGATTCTAGATTTGGATTTAAAATTAGAACTATGTGCAGAACGTGGCAATTTCTGCAAGCTCAATCTGTAATTAAAAAATATGAAAATAAACCAGTAGACTGTGACAGTTCACATTATTTAACTATAATGTCCTCTCAAGTGTATCTTTCCAAGGGAAGCAACTTTAGAGAAGAATCTGGAATACTTCATTCACAGTGGTGAGATCTGCCCTGGCCAGTCCCTTCCCCCGGGTTTATCGACTTTTGACCTCCACAGCCAGAGTGGCCGGCTCAACGCTTTGTCAGCCTTCTCCTGGGTCACTAGTTTACAACTGTACTAAGGTTTGCAGAGAACCTTTGGCCAGGCAAACAAAGATCCACAGGAAGAGCAGGCATGCTCCTCCCGACAGCCTCTTACACAAGTTCCCCCACCACTAGCACTGATTAAGAGCAAAACAGAACTTTAACAAATCAATTAAGAATCTTCCCCTTACAGCTTCTAACTTTATTGACCTCCCAGGGTTACAAAGGATACACATTTCCTTTTTTTTTGTCTGCCACACCTGCCACCAACATGCCAAAGGCAAGTCTTCGAACGCCCCAGGATATGGATTAATTTTACAAGTGAATTTAAGTCCCCATGGAGTTATACCTGCTAAGCTCCCAACCAATTTCAAGCTGTGCACTATACCAAGTCTTACACTTGATTTTAAAAGAAAAAAGTTCAAAAAAACTTCAGCACAGAACAAAGTTTTCTTCTTTTGTGGAAGGGGCATGAAGCAGGAGTCCTGTTTTTAAAGTATCCAACAGCAGACTTCTGATAAGATTGTCGTGGGAGAGAGATCGTGTTCTGGTGCTCCGCCTTCCCTAACCCCAACCCACCCACCCCTGGCTCTCCCTCAAAGTGAGAATACAATGAAATTGGTTTGTATTTATAGATATTTTACAAGGTTAAATAATAACAACAATAATAAAAAAACTGAACACTAAAATGAACAGGTTTTTTTTTCTCTTTTTAATTTTCTTTCCAAACGTGACCAGTGTTGCTGAGTGGACACTCAAGTAACTGGTGGTTTTTCCTGTGCAGCTGGCTGCTCGGGACTGTTCAGGTGGAGTTGGAAGCTGATGCAGAAGCAGCGTTATTGGTCTGTCCACGGTCTCCAGCATTAGCATCTGCAAATCGAAAGTCCCAAGAGAGAGCATGAGCGATGCTGTAAGATCTCAAAAAGAAAAGCATGCTGTCTCAACTGCAGACTGAGCTGTGCGGCCTGCTTCCAAGTGTATCTGAAATGTTGTTTTAAATATGGCCAATACTATGAAATCTGGATTTCTTTCTGCTTAGAGCTAAGTCCATGCTGTGGCCTGGTCCTGATGCAGGACGATACTATCTTTGAATAAGTTACAGACTCAGGTAGCCAGAGACCATGTCTGTCAAAGCTCTTGTTCTAGCCTGGATCAACGGAATAGGATCAACTGGAGTCTAGTGCATCTGAAAGTGCACAGCTGGAAACTTGTTAGAAGTCCTGAACGATGCCATTTGCCTAGGAGGGTAAAAGGGGTGTAGACAGTAAAAGTACTGTGGGCCAGCGTGACAGGCAGAAGAGCTGTGTGTAAGTCAAATTCAATTGCTTGCTTTCTAAGTATAGGCCATCTTCATTATTCACAGACATGGAAGATAGACAACTAGCAAAAACAGGAACAGCTACCAGAGTACCAATTCACTTAATTCAATAAAGTATCTTGTAGTAACTTAACTATCTTGGCACTAAGCTTACTCTGCCTAATGCTTTGGAAATATGTGTAACATTATAACTAACTTTAACCCCTGTTCCCTCTTTTAAAGGCCCATTATTATTTCATAATATCCATTAACATTTAAGCGGGCATTTGTGTCCAGATTGGCTCCCCATCTCCGGAAGACATACCCTGCTATTTCAGTGACTAGTTTAATTAAGTTGCATCCCTGTCATCTCACACATGACTGGGAATATCCTGCTGGGCAAATTTTCTCCCTAGCACTTCATGGTAAGCCTTGAGCAACAGGAGAGGTGGCTTGATTGGGATGGACAACTTTCAAGAGCCATCTCCCTAGAAGTCACACCTCCCTTGGCCGTCAAGGCTGATGACACCCAGATGTTTTCTCTCTCTAGAAATTATAGTTCTCCTATATCCTATGATGAATACAGTAAACAAGGTCATGGCGAAAGCAACATTCGGCCTTCTGAGTTTTCTACTTTGGATTTTTTAATTAGAGTGAGAAACAAAAGACCCAAGGACACACAGGAACTCTTAAAAATTAGCTGTTCATTTTATAAGTTCAGTGGCCACTCTATGAAAATTATACTTCTTTCCTAAATTCTTGATTTTCCTGTCCTCAAAACAATCAGCCCTCTATACATTTAAATCAGACTTTGGGGAAGAAATGCTTCTCCTCCTGTTACCAGGCCTTAGCTGACAGCATGGAGTCATATGAACTCACGGGCATGGCGCATGGACAGGTGCAGGAGAGGGTATATGGCATAGAACCTATTCTCCAAAGGCAGGTAAACAGCCTTTCTTCTAAAAGTCAGTTAGTACCCATGTCTAATACTTCATTCATGACTCCTGTTTTTTTCTGGATATGCCTTGCTTAGCAGGAGTTTTACTCTCAATGATCACACAAATTCTATGCATCAATAATAATCGAACAATTCTTGTCCAGACCACAGGTTCCTGTGAGCCTTTCCCAAGAAAAACACACATTTTCATAATTTAGGCATAGGCTGCATTAAACAACAGTCCAGAGAAAGCCGAAGGGCCACCGAGCTGTTTAGAATTAATAATGTTCCTCACAGGGCCAAGCTCACTGTGTACCTCTCGTGCTTTGTATGACACTCAGTTCCTCTGCGGGATCATCATCAGACAACACTTCTCTCCCTTGTCAGTTTGTGAACATGACAGGTAAAATTGTCACGTTCTGATCTTCCCCAGGAGTTAAGAGACGCACTAATCACCGGGAATTTATCGGCTTGATCATGACATCAGCACATGTACTAGCATTGCTGGCAGCTCTGGCCAGGGCAGCATCAGCATCAGCCAACACCCATGAAGACTTAACTACATTGCCACCCAGCCCATTATGTTAATTTGCTCTTTGGCAAAATCATAATTAGCTATTAATTGGCAAATGTTCTTTCAGTGGATACTACCTGTGAGCTTAAGACATTTCCCAAACGAGTCCCACCCTCCTCGGATGAAGCCAGAGGCTGCTTGCATGAGAATAAAAAGCAAAAGCCTTTTAAGTGGGTACACAATCAAAGATGAATTCACCTTCCAAACAATAAAATTTGAAAACACACTCATGTTCCTCAGATTTGTAATTTAATGATCTCTTATTTTTGCTTAGAATTATTTCCAAGTAATTTGATGAGTAAAATTTTAACAGCTAATTATTTTGATTACAAATATCTTTGATACCTAAGTCATAGCACTGTAATCCTATATAATAAAGAGGTAATATGCAAACTGACCATCATGCCCTCGCACAAGATGGCTGCCCTCATGTGGTCACAAGATGGCTGGCAGGGGAGGACAGTTGGGGGGAACCAGGCCTGCAGGGGAGGGCAGTTGGGGGGGACCAGGCTGGCAGGGGAGGGCAGTTGGGGGGGACCAGGCTGGCAGTTGGGAGCAGTTAGGCGTTGAGCCTAAACTAGGATTGGGCCTAAACTGCCAGTTGGACATCCCCCGAGGGGTCCCAGATTGGAGATGGTGCAGCCTGGGCTGAGGGACACCCCCCCAGTGTACAAATTTCGTGCACCGGGCCTCTAGTCATTAATAAAAAACAAAACAAATAAAAAAGCCCAGCTGGTATTGCTCAGTGGTTGAGCATCGACCTATGAACCAGGAGGTTCCCAGTTGATTCCCAGTCAGGGCACATGCCGGGTTGTGGGCTCCATCCCCAGTAGGGGGTGTGCAGGAGGCAGCTGATCAATGATTCTCTTCATCATTGATGTTTCTATCTCTCTCTCTCTTTTCCTCTCTGAAATAAATAAAAATATAGTAAAACACACCTACACCCAAACCCTTTTATCTAATGCAATGTACTGCATTTAAAAATCAAATTATACATGTCTTTGCTGAGGAAAAGAATCCCCCCCACCACCCCGCCCCCGGAAGACAAAGTACAGGGAGGAGAAAAGCAAAACAAAATAAAAAGTGAAGTCCTACAAACTCAAAGATAGCTCCAACAGACCACTTGGCTTTCTGACTGAACAAAATTATATTTCGTAAATTCTTCTTGGTACATACTTATTTTGTTCCCACTGTCAATTAATAATGCTCATTAATTTAAAATTCTGATAAAACTGTCACTTGATTTGAATATGTATGGTGATTTCTGTAACTTTTCTTCTGAAGCATTTAAACAGTAACTCTTTAAAAGCAGCATTTGCTCTCCTGCATTCCCTTCCCTTCACATTCGTACTGGTAAAGTGACGCCACTCAGCATTAGGGTTTACAGGGTGGGCTAAGATCTTTTCATCCCAAAGCATCCAATCCAACTATGAATCACCAAACACTGAGTGTACAGTTTCTAGTTTTTAGTCTTAAGAAATGCTCTTCTGATATTCACACTGACAATCTCTTAAACCTGGTCCAATTCCACAAACATTTATTGAGTATGAGATCTAGTTATACAACTTAATAGCTGTGTAATTTTGGAACAAGTTACTTAAACTTCTCTACCCCTAAATTTCCTCACTTGTAAAATGGCGATAATACTACCTATTTACAAAATAAGGTCTACGAAGTGCTTAGCATAGCACCCAGTAATTGTTTAATAAATGGACAGGTAGAATAGGCATCTAAAAATGGTTTTGTGTGACTTCAACATCCACCATCACCATCATAATAAATAAGTGGCAGCAGTTAATATCTGAGTGCTTACCAATATGCCAAACATCGTAATAAGTACACATTGCAGGCATGTCATTTAGCCCACACAGCAATTCCAAGAAATAGGTAAAAATTATTGCCCCCATTTTGCAATGGCAAAATGGAAGCACAAAGAGATTAAGTTATATGCCTAACATTGGAGGGCTAACAAGTGGGAGAGCTGAGCACAGTGTAAGAGGATGATGACTTTCATGGGTAGTAGGGAGCAGCAGAAAAGATTTCCTAGCAAAGGGAGAAAAGAACTTAATTTCATTCAGACCTAGCCCTTACATGATCCTCTGTGATTTCTAGAAGCCTACTTTTATTATCTAAAAGGGTTACTACACTAAAACAGATCAGTGAATTTATGTTAAGAATTAAAGGTACAGTTATTTTATTTTCTAATTTTCAAAGTCTGTATGGGGTATACAGAGATACAAGTGTTTTGGAAAGAACTGACAGTTCACTGACTTCCTTGCTTCCTAGAAACCAATGCCCATTACCACCCTTCTGATGCTGTTGCAGTACAAACCAACCAACCAACCAACCAAGGATGACCTTGAGGGGGAACAGAGAGAATATTTAGCTTTGGGAAGGAAAGTATAACATCATTCTTACACATTGTGGTAGCCAGCTTCCAAGATAGCCCTAATAAGTAATGACTTTTGGTGTCTATGCCCTAATGTAGTCTCCTTCCCCAGTGAATAGTATTGGCTTGTCAATCATTTCAGAAATAATGATGTGTGGCTTCCACCCTGTTCTCCTCCTTGGATCACTTGGTCTAGGAGAAGCTAGCTGCAGTCATGTGAGACACTCAAGGAGCACTATGGACAGGTACACCTGGGGAGGGACTGAGGCCTCCTGCATACAGCCAGCAGGGACTCACCAACCACATGAATGAGCCATCCTGCAAGGATATCTTCTAGCCCAGTGATGGTGAACCTTTTGAGCTCGGCGTGTCAGCATTTTGAAAAACCCTAACTTAACTCTGGTGCCGTGTCACATATAGAAGTTTTTTGATATTTGCAACCATAGTAAAACAAAGATTTATATTTTTGATATTTATTTTATATATTTAAATGCCATTTAACAAAGAAAAATCAACCAAAAAAATGAGTTCGTGTGTCACCTCTGACACGCGTGTCATAAGTTCGCCATCACTGTTCTAGCCCCAGGCAAGTCTTCAGATCTTTGCAGGCCTGGCTGATATTTTGACTACAACCTCTAGAGTCCCTGACCTAGAACCATCCAGCTAAGCTGCT